CTCTTTCTTTAATGATTTAATTTCTTTATCATACTTGGCCTTCTCCGTTTCCACGGTCTGGTGCTCGTTGATGAGCTCGATGTTTTAGCAATATCGTTGACAATCGTACACAACCACTCCACGCGAAGTTGGGCAGACTATACGTCTTTAAGAACGGCCAACAGTTCCTTGACTTTGGACGATGTTAAGTGCATTATTGAGGATGATTGCATCTCTTGGACCACAAAGCACACGCACACACACAAGCATAGATTTTGTTGAACCTTTAATGAAGATACACACATGTTAAACATTCATACATGTCAAAAACACACATACACACACAAGCATGAGAAAACTACATGCCTGAATTATAAGGCTAACATCTAGATATAGCTGAATCTATGCATATCTATATCAATCTCAAAGTAATTTTATCCCTGTAAAAAAAATAAACATATTAGTTAGGTAATTTTCTCATTCACAATCACAAGGTATAATAACTCTTTAACTAACACCATGTCTTCTGTATACATTAAACAACAATTTCTTAACCAATTGACTTACCTTTAGTTAATATGATGCAGACATGAAACAATAAGATTTATGATATTGGATTGCATATATATAATGTCATTACAGGTTAGAGTATCTTAACTGGAAATGCACATCAAACCACCTTTGGTCCACACAATTTTGTATTGTCCATGGTTATTGATAAAGAAAATTTTGATCTGACTTTATCTATGTCTGCCACTGTGGCAGTCAATCAGTCAATTTTCTTTACTATACCAACAGTTCCTATAACTTGATATGGATGAAGATTGCTCCACAATGATGTCTACAGAAATTAAAGAAAGCATAAATTAGTCTTATATGCAACATATAACTTAAGAGAATTAATGAAATCTTCTGCAAGAAAGCTGGGATAACTCCTCAATGACTTCAACTACATTTTCAAGACTATTCGCTTTGACAAGTGCCCGAGAGAGTTCGAACATCTTAGTAGTTCCACTGCATACACCTTCTTTGCACCAGCCTGTGCTGACCATATAGTCATAATACCACTTCCAGACATATCACATAATACAAATTCACCTGCATTGCATTAACTCCATAACCAATGACAGAAATATTTCAAACTTACAGTTACTCCTAAAGAAGTTTTAAAGCTAAGAACACATCCAACATTAAGACCATACCTTATCCCTCCCTCTTACACTGCTCATGTTGTAACAAAGTGATATTAAGACTACTGGCTGGTATGATTTCCAAATGCTTAAACAAACTTACAAAGTTCTTTTCTACATTCTTGTTGTAACAAAGTGACATTAAGCCTACTGGCTGGTATGATTTCCAAATGTTTACATTTTTAGTTACAAATATTTACTTCAGTTTCAAGTTGCTTATGGTTATCACAAACTTCAGTTAATGGAAGACAGATAGAGTTAGCATATTATGCACCTATATTGTGATAATACATTTACGGGTTATTATGTTACAACTCTTAACTATGTAAGAAACATACTAAATGATCAGTATTCTAGTACAATTCTTCACAACAGCAAGCTAGGTTGTATAATCCGTGACAATTATCTATTCAGCGAATAGAAAGGTAACAATTAAGCTAATTAGTGAATGTATTTGCTGGCTAACCTGTGGAAGGGCATCTCGTCGCTGCCCGACAGCATTCATAACTCGAGCAATCTCAACTCGGTCAAAGCAATTTCTGCTACAGGGTCTGGCTGCAGAATACCATAAAAAATCAGCAACACACATAACAATACTATGTAACAAACATAACAGATATTCCAATGGTAGATCCAAATTTAGGAAATATTTAAATAATAGTAACAACCTTTTCAACTTCTTCTAGAAGATGCGGGTTCTCCTTCAAGTACTACAATGTTTTGTCTCTTCCTTGTCCTAACCTGTTTCACGATATAGATTTAGATGATCACCATTAAGACATGGGAACTGACCAACCATCGAGACACAAACAATTGGAAAACCAAAGAAAAGTGAAGGATGTAAAACACAGAGCAGAATAATCGAAGAGGTCGTCAAAGATATAAATATTAAGCATCCATAAGTTTCAGACAATACAGATGCTCCCCATAACTGTACCAAGAGCCCTTCTTTAAGACAATATTCATCATTTCTGCACAATCTAAAATGCAACCTTGCGTTCAAAATGAAATTTCAAAATAATGGTATTTGCTAAATGTTAAAAGTGATTTTATGTTCCAACACTCACCAGCTTATTAACTCCCTCTCCAAATGAGATATCAAATTCAGCTACTTTGTAAGGCCTCGACACCTAAAACAAATTCTCAAATTATTTACCTCCAAATTAAAATGATATTGAAGTATTTTTATATATTCTATCTGATTCAGATAGAATATATAAAAATACTTCAATATCTTAATTAATGTTACCAATCTAGACTTTACAACCCTTGTTTTAGTTTTAGAAAAAAGTGATTTCAAGGTGGGTAAAAAGTGATTTTTTTTAGTTTACAAATAACTGGCATAAGCTATTTTAGTTTACAAAAAAGTGATTCTCAAACGGAAAATTTTCAAATATATAAATGTTGTGGTTACCTTGCTCTTTTGCACTCTTACATGAACTTTAAGGCCAACTTCTTCATCTCCTTTGGCCTAAAAGGAAATCAAAATGCAAATTAGTTCTTCATATTAAACAATCTTGATATTATAATCAACAGACTATATTAGGAACAGATAATCATGAAAAAGTTGTTGTACTTACAGACTTTATCTTCCCTGTAGGACGAACTTCTAACCAAACCGATGCAAAAAACTTCAATGCAATTCCACCACTTGTCACTTCAGGATTTCCATAGTAGACACTAATCTTCAGAAGTAAAGAGAAAAACAAACCATATAAGTGTACAACCAGCTTTAGATGCATTTCCAGACATCTTACGCAAAGCTTGGCTCATAAGACGGGCCTGCAGTCCCATTTGCTGCATTCCAATCTCACCCTATGCATTTAAATAGAAATTTTGGTTAGAATGAAATGCAATCCTGTAAATGATTTAATGAAATCACCTAAAACAAAGAAAATCAGATATTTACTTCAACTTCGGCTTGGGGAGTGAGAGCTGAGACGGAGTTAACACAAATGAGATCTATGAAACCAGATCTGCACATACGATCTGCGACTACAATAGGAAAAGTTCAATCAATTCATAGACACCATATGGGCACCAACAAAATCATTTATCCGTTCCAACACAACATAAGTCAAAAGCATTACTCTCAAGAGTCAGCTCTCCATGATCTGGTTGGCACACAATTAAATTTTCTACATCCACTCCTAATGCTTTAGAATATGCTGGATCAAAAGCATGCTCTGCATCAACAAGCATTGCATTGCCTCCTAACTTCTGCGCAAACATAAAAAACATTGCACATTGATTCCAATCAATAATCATCATCGGGAATCATAGATTGGGAAAACTCCAGATGAATTACCTGTACTTCTGCAATAGCATGAAGTGCTAAGGTAGTCTTCCCACTGCTCTTTGGTCCATATATCTGGAAACAGATATAACATATAATGTCGGCATCCCATTATAGAATAAATTACTTTAGGAGAAAAAATAATAGAAGAGCCGAGAAAATGTAAATAAAGAACGGAATTGGGACATCTTTAATGATAAAATCATATATAGCTTAGATGATGATGTCTTTTCAAAGCCTAACAAACTTCTATTTCATGCTCCAATAAATTTTAAGTACAGAATATATCATACTATTCAATAAATAAATAAACAATGAGTATATTATACTCCATCAACATCAAGGGATATAGAGTCAATACGGTCAATACATCTACAATTCTTCCTTTTGGAAGACCGCCGCCCAAAGCGAAGTCTAAAGACAAACATCCACTGGGAAAAGTTTCACTACAACATTCCAGACAATAGAAAACTTGTCATGTTATGTGATCTAAATAACAGAAAATAATAGTAAGACTGATGATAGAGAATGTGAAGAAGATACATACACCAAAGCTCCACCTGCACTGCCCAATCTCGTAACACTACCTTTTCCGAAAGAGTTGTTTATATCATTCATTGCTGCTTCCAGTTCCTTTTGCTAGAATATAAATTAAATTGTCAAATCAAATATATTTATACATTAGTAAGATTACATTAACGATTATTAAGTGAAACCCTACTAGTTTTATTGGCAAGCGACAAATAACCTACTAGTTTTATTGGCAAGATGACATCATATTTTCAACAGAACAATTATCAGAAAGCATTTACTAATATAAACAATGAACTATATATCCTAAATGCTATCAAGTTAAATGAATCTTCCTCTTTTTCTAATTATTTGACTATCCTTTATGTGGCCTATCCTTCATAGTGGCACTTCTATAATGATTCAAAATACATGTTCAAATCACCAAAGAGAAAAATATACAATTTTCTCTATATATATCCTAAATGCATGCCTTGCGATGCTGTCTCTTTTTATATATCCAGTAAGCATATATGACTACAACCCAAAAAAAATTGACCAATTCGAAAATTGGAGGAAAGACAACAGAGAGAATGCAATCTTTTAAACAAAATACACTAACCCCATTGAATATAAAAAAATCCAAGGGCTTACAGAGGAAACAATTTCTTGTTGTTAATTCAACATGTTAGGCAGCTAGCATAAATACGAAAGAGAGTTCCCTGATAAAATACAGGTAGCATACCAAGAGTATCATATAAAGGCACTGATATATATGAATATGCAGAGCAAGCATGATCAACAATGAGCCACTTAGGTCTGTTAATAAAATACAATCCAATGCCAGAGCCTAGAAAAACGCACATAGATTAATAGTTAAGTGATGCCATGTGAAAAATAGAGATTGGAAAATGAAGAATAATAAAGTACTCAGTGAACCCAAAATATAACTTTTATGTCGAAACCACGCACCTCCGTAAGACTGCAAAACCGCCGTAAGAGTAAGATTAGTGCAATTTCTTCTTCTAAAGCTTCAACAACACAACCATTCCAATGTAAGGGAGAAAATAGAAGATTGAATTTGAATAAAGTGTTTGAAACCACAAGACACTAAAAGAACAAACTTTTACTCAATTGCAGAATAATTATAACATAAAAAAACAGTGGCTAATATAGATGGCAGGGGGATAGATACCAGAAAATAAAACTTACCGTAGAAGATTGTAAAGCCTGTATTTCTGAAAACCTTGCCAATAACAACTTGTTTTCAAGATCAGGTATCATCTGTAAGGACAATGAGAAAAATGACAGATAATATCCAACAACTCATTGTTGTTGAATGTGAATTTGGGGATTTAGGGTTAGGATTTTTCTGAAGGAAATGCAGGTTTAGAATTAGATGGAAGGGTTTAGGATTTAAGATAAGCAAGTGAGAATGAATCTATAGATCCCAAAATCATATTAGAACCAAAACAAAAGAAAATATAATTTGTGTTTCCTTCAAAATATGTTTTTTAGTTTTATTGTTTAAATAAAAGAGATTAATGTTTTAATATTTACACCCAAATTAAATCCTTTTTAAAATTTATGCAAATAAATTCTTGAAATGATGTGAATTTTAATCCCCAATATATATATATATATATATATATATATATATATATATATATATATATATATATATATATATATATATATATATATATATATATATATATATATATATATATATATATATATATATATATATATATATATATATATATATATATATATATATATATATATATATATATATATATATATATATATATATATATATATATATATATATATATATATATATATATATATATATATATATATATATTAACATTGTTATCAAAATTAATTTTAATAAAAGTTAACTATTTATATAACAAAATAGAAACTATTTTACTATCGACATTAATTATAATAATTATTTATTAAATTAATTAATAAAATTGAAAATGTTAGAAAATAATAATGAAAGAAAAAAGTGGAAAATTAAAGGAATAAAAAAAATAGTGATTATGATTGGCTAAAGTAATTGCGACAGTTCGTCTTAACTGTCGCGAGTGTGGAAAGAAGGCGGTTATTTGATAACTGTTGCATTATTTTATACAACATGCCTAAAAACTTTGCGACGGTTGACTCAAACCATCGTGAGAATTGTCGTAGTCCAGGAATAAGGACAGTTTTTTTGATAACTATCGCAAAAAATCTAGGACAGTTGACCCTAACTGTGGTAACAACCGTCACAATCCAGGAATAAGGACGGTTTTGAGATAACTGTCGCAACTCAAGTGTCGTAAATCTCCTTTTTTCTTGTAGTGATTGCTCAAGAATATGATGTGAAAGTATGCATAAAATTTCTTGAATGAAAGATAAAGACTTGCAAAGTGAATTTTGAAAATTTGATTGAAATAGGTGATTTCATGATTTGAAATTTCAAGTATTTATAAGCACATAACACCCTTGTGAAACATGGTAATGTCTGGAAAAATATCATGAACAAATGCAAAGATGAAATGAAAGGGTTCCATGAAGAGTGACATGAAGAGGTGTCATGAAAGATATTGATTTTTCAAATCGATTGCACCTATGTGCAAATTGATTGCACATGACCAACAAAATAATTTTTTAAAAAATTACAACATGCAATCGATTGCACTGTGTAAAAATGTGAAAAATCAACATTTTTTATGCAACAAGCAAGTGCAAATCAATTGCATTTTGTTGGAACTTTAATTAATTAGAGTGGGAATTAGAAACATTTGTTGACAATTAATGAGCAATAAATGAACACAAGTGAGAACTAATATAGAAGTGAATTTGAAAAGATTCATTTTAGTCCCATATTGAAGGGAATGAAAATATTAGTAGTGTTTATATATTCCAACTTTGTCTATTAGGTTGGGCCCTAAAGGACACCCAATTTTGTGAAAGGAGTGAGGACACACCCATGACCAACAAGACACATGCGCGTCGCCGCCGTCAGTCCGGCCGGCCGGCTCGGTCCGGTCTAGATGAATTATTTTTTGGACCCGAATTTATATAATTTAATTATCACTAATTAATTAATATAATTTGGTGGAAAATTAATTAATAATAAATATTAATTAATTAAGAAAATAATTGGTCAGATCCAGTCCTCCACGAATTTCTCATTCTCCCACCATTTTCTCCACTCACCACAAATTTCTCCCCACTCAGGTGCAGGTAGCTGCCTATAAATACAGGGTAGAAATTCAGTAGTGAGTACATCAGATTTCACAAATTCACACGAATTTTGATTTCCTTCTTCTCTCCCTTTATTCTCTTCATCTAAATTTTTTCTTTTCTTTACTGGTTATTTGCGCCAGATACTAATTTAGAAAGGTGTATTTCTAGAGCGATTTATCAGTGTGCAACTGATAATCGTAAGTTTTTTTGAATGGGTTGTTTTATCCTGGAGGCGTCGTCGTAAATCGACTGCTTTACATAATTTGGCAGTACCGCGAAACGTCTTAAAGAAAGCGACCTAGTACGCGACTCGTCCCGATAATTTCCTTGTGCCAAACTCAATTTTTCAAATCTGAAACCAACAATTTTAAGACGATTTAATAACTGCCATGGCAACTGAGGAAATTATCGGTACTACTGCGGCCGCTTCGGTCTCTGACAAACCTTTCAGGTTTGAGGGTTCCAATTTCAAACGTTGGCAAGCTAAGATGAAATTTTTCTTAACTCTGAAAAAGGTTACCCACGTTCTAACTGAGGATATCCCGGTTGTCCCTTCTGCATCATCTGAACTACCTAATGGTAACTCACTTGCAAATTCAGACGGGATTTCTAAAATGTCTGACTCAGATGCTGCAAAAGCTAAGGCTGCAGCAGATGATCTACAGCTCCGAAAAGAAATCGCCTTATGGCACGAGAATGATTATCTGTGCAAAAATCACATTCTGAACAGCCTTGCTGATGATCTGTACGACTACTACAGTAGCTACAGGACTGCTAAACAGGTTTGGGAGGCTCTGCAAAGAAAATATGATACTGAAGAAGCAGGTGCGAAGAAATTTGTTGTCAGCCGCTACTTGAACTACAAGATGGTGGATGAGAAATCGGTGGAAGCTCAAAGCCACGAAATTCAGAAGATTGCTCATGAGATTATTACAGAAGGTATGCCCCTCAATGAACAATTTCAAATTGCTGTAATTATTGACAAACTGCCCCCTGGTTGGAAAGATTTCAAAAATGTGCTTCGTCACAAAACAAAAGAATTTTCAATCGAGAGTCTGATAACTCGCCTCCGAATTAAAGAGGAGGCTCGAAAACAAGATCAGAAAGAAGAAGTCTTAGTTGTGTCTAACAACAAAAAGAAATTCGGTGCGGTTCTGAAGCCTACAGGCAAACTTTTAAAGAATCAGAACCGCAATGCTATGAACCGAACTAAGAATGGGAATCCCTCTAGGGCCCCATCGGCTCCATTTGCTAAGCAACAGCCACCACCTCAAAGAAATGATGCTCCGGTTTTTTCTTGCTACAACTGTGGGAAACCGGGCCATATGGCAAAGAAATGTAGGAGCAGGCCTAAACCTGCAGCTGGCTCAAATGCTCAGGTCAACCTGACTGATGAGCAACTTATTGCCATGGTCACTGAAATCAACATGGTTGGTGGAAGTGATGGTTGGTGGATAGACACTGGCGCCACTCGTCATGTCTGCTATGATCGTGCTATGTTCAAGACATACATGAATGTTGAAGATAAGAAAGTGTTGTTGGGAGATGCTCACACCACTAATGTTGCTGGAATTGGAGACGTTGAGTTGAAGTTCACTTCAGGAAAGACTTTGATCTTGAAGGACGTCATGCATGTTCTTGAAATTAGGAAGAATCTTGTTTCTGGTTTTCTTTTGAATAAGGCTGGGTTTAGTCAAACTTTAGGGGCAGACTTGTACACCATCACTAAGAATGGTATTTTTGTTGGAAAAGGGTACGCCACTGATGGCATGTTTAAGTTGAATGTTGATTTGAATAAAATTTCTCCTTCTGTTTACTCTGTGTGTGACTTTAATATTTGGCATGGTAGACTTTGTCACGTTAATAAAAGAATCATTTCTAATGCAAGCAACATAGGCCTAATCCCTAAACTAAATGTTAATGATTCCAATAAATGTGAATTTTGCAGTCAAGCGAAAATAACAAAAACTTCACATAAATCAATTATAAAAGAATCTGACCCCCTAGATCTTATACACTCTGATATATGTGAATTAGATGGAAGTTTAACTAGAAATAATAAACGTTATTTTATCACTTTTATTGACGATTGCTCTGATTATACTTATGTATATCTAATGAAGAATAAAAGTGAAGCGCTTGACATGTTTAAGGTGTATGTAACTGAAATTGAGAATCAATTTAACAAGAAGATTAAGAGACTTCGCAGTGATAGGGGAATCGAATATGACTCTAGCTTGTTTAATGATTTTTATGCTGAACATGGTATTATACATGAAACGACTGCTCCATACTCTCCTGAAATGAATGGTAAAGTAGAAAAAAAGAATAGGACTCTTACTGAACTTGTAGTTGCAATCATGTTGAATTCTAGTGCTGCACCTCACTGGTGGGGGGAAATTTTATTGACTGTTTGCTATGTCCTGAATAAAGTTCCCAAGTCAAAAAGTAAGATCTCACCTTATGAGATATTAAAGAAAAGACAACCAAATTTGTCTTATTTAAGAACTTGGGGCTGTCTGGCTTATGTCAGAATTCCGGATCCAAAACGAGTTAAACTCGCTAGTAGAGCCTATGAATGCGTATTCATTGGGTATGCAGCAAACAGTAAGGCATACAGGTTTTATGACCTAAATGCCAGAGTAATTATAGAATCAAACGATGTTGAATTCTTTGAAGACAAATTTCCTTTCAAATCGAGAAATAGTGGGGGCACACAATCGAGTCACATTCGTGTGATAAAAAGCACTGAAAGCAGCGACAATGTAGAAACAGAACTTCAGAGAAGTAAAAGAGCAAGAGTTGCTAAAGACTATGGGCCCGATTATGCGGCCTATAATGTAGAAGAAGATCCAATAAATCTTCAAGAAGCACTGTCATCTATGGATGCAGACTTATGGAAAGAAGCCATTAATGATGAGATAGATTCTCTAGAATCTAACAAGACCTGGAACCTAGTAGACTTACCTCCGGGTTGCAAACCAATTCGTTGTAAATGGGTTTTGAAAAAGAAACTAAAACCTGATGGAACGATTGAGAAATACAAGGCTCGCCTTGTAGCCAAGGGTTTTAGACAAAGAGAAAATATAGATTTCTTCGACACCTTTTCTCTGGTCACTAGAATTACATCCATTAGGGTACTCATTTCAATAGCAGCCATTTATAACTTAATAGTACACCAAATGGATGTTAAAACAACTTTTTTAAACGGTGACTTAGAAGAAGAAATCTATATGGAACAACCAGAAGGGTTTGTGATCCAAGGACAAGAAAGCAAGGTCTATAAGTTAGATAAGTCTCTGTATGGACTAAAACAAGCCCCTAAACAATGGCATGAAAAGTTTGATAACCTAATGATAATTAATGGGTACAAAGTGAATGAAAGTGACAAGTGCGTTTATTACAAATCTGAGAATCGCATTTGTACTATCATATGTCTATATGTAGACGATCTACTTATATTTGGATCAAACATTCAGGCCATTAATGATATGAAATCATTGTTATGCAATAACTTTGATATGAAAGACCTCGGAGAAGCAAGCGTGATCCTGGGTATCAAAATCACGAGATCCGACCAAGGAATTTATTTGGATCAATCTCACTATGTGGAGAAGATCTTAAAGAAATATAAATACTTTGATTGCAAACCTGCATGCACTCCGTATGATCCAAGGGTGATACTATTTAAGAACACTGGAGAAAGTGTCAAACAAGCAGAATATGCGAGCATCATTGGCAATCTTAGGTATGCCACTGACTGTACTAGGCCCGACATTGCATATGTCGTAGGATTGCTGTGCAGATTTACAAGTAGGCCGAGTAACGAACATTGGCAAGCTATTGAGCGAGTAATGAGGTACCTTAAAAGGACTATGGACCTTGGCCTACACTATCAGAAATTTCCTGCTATACTAGAAGGGTATAATGATGCAGATTGGAACACCTTATCGAATGATTCCAAAGCTACTAGTGGTTATATATTTAGTATAGCCGGAGGAGCTGTATCTTGGAAATCAAAGAAACAGACCATTCTGGCACATTCCACAATGGAGTCTGAGATGATAGCATTAACTACAGCTAGTGAAGAAGCAAGTTGGTTAAGATGCTTGATAGCTGAGATTCCTTTATGGGAAAAACCTATACCAGCTGTGTTGGTCCACTGCGATAGTACTGCGACTATTGCAAAAGTTGAGAACCGTTATTATAATGGTAAAAGACGTCAAATTAGAAGAAAACATAGCACTGTTAGAGATTGTATCTCTAAAGGAGCTGTGAGAGTGGATCATGTACACACTGATGAGAACTTAGCAGATCCTTTGACGAAAGGATTAGCTAGAGAGAAAGTCCATAATACTTCCAAAAAGATGGGACTAATGCCTATAAAGCAATTAGTTACTCATGATGGTAACCCGACCTAAATGACTGGAGATCCCAAGACTTAGGTTCAATGGGTAATAACAAGTTGTGAGTAATATGAAAATGATCATGCAAGTAAAGCATGAATCCTGAAGTAATGAGAGGATGAGATAATAGAAACTCTTAATGAGATCTATACTCTGTATGAGGGAGTACCTAGGCTACAGGAGTACTCTTGATAGATTCACCTATGTGACTGTGGAACTGAGGCCGGTTCCTATGGAATTTCGAGGCAGAATTCCTAGAGCATTCCCTAAACCGGGATACACGTGCAGGGCCACTAAAGCACGGGCTACAAGAATACACCTTACGGAAAGGTTGTGTGCGGGTCTGATGTCCGAGATAGAGTTCAAGACAATGGTGTCACTCTTGTTGAATCAGAATCTTACTCGTTACGCTAAGGTTCAAGTCGTAGACACCTTTGCTTATGCTCAACCTTAGAAACGTCTGACGTACTTCTAAAATCTCTTTTAAATTCAAGTGGGGGAATGTTGGAACTTTAATTAATTAGAGTGGGAATTGGAAACATTTGTTGACAATTAATGAGCAATAAATGAACACAAGTGAGAACTAATATAGAAGTGAATTTGAAAAGATTCATTTTAGTCCCACATTGAAGGGAATGGAAATATTAGTAGTGTTTATATATTCCAACTTTGTCTATTGGGTTGGGCCCTAAAGGGCACCCAATTTTGTGAAAGGAGTGAGGACACACTCATGACCAACAAGACACAAGCGCGCGCGCCGCCGCCGCCGTTCGTCCGGCCGGCCGGTTCGGCTCGGCTCGGTCCGGTCTAGATGAATTATTTTTTGGACCCGAATTTATATAATTTAATTATCATTAATTAATTAATATAATTCAGTGGAAAATTAATTAATAATAAATATTAATTAATTAAGAAAATAATTGGTCAGTAACTGCCAGATCGAGTACTCCACGAATTTCTCATTCTCCCACCATTTTCTCCACTCACCACGAATTTCTCCCCACTCAGGTGCAGGTAGCTGCCTATAAATACAGGTAGAAATTCAGTAGTGAGTACATCGGATTTCACAAATTCACACGAATTTTGATTTCCTTCTTCTCTCCCTTTATTCTCTTCATCTAAATTTTTTCTTTTCTTGACTGATTATTTGCGCCAGATACTAATTTAGAAAGGTGTATTTCTAGAGCGATTTATCAGTGTGCAACTGATAATCGTAAATTTTTTTGAACGGGTTGTTTTATCCTGGAGGCGTCGTCGTAAATCGACTGCTTTGCATAATTTGGCAGTACGACGAAACGTCTTAAAGAAAGCGACCTAGTACGCGACCTAGTACGCGACTCGTCCCGATAATTTCCTTGTGCCAAACTCAATTTTTCAAATCCGAAACCAACACATTTTTATGCAAATCGATTTGCATTAGTTAAAATTTGAAAAATTGTTCTTTTAAAGATGTCATGATCCTGAAGCAAGTTTTAATTGAGCATCTAAGACTTTACTATTTGATAATAATTGTCATTATACCTCCATGAAATGTCAATAGCTTAAATCTAAAGTCTTGAACAAAATGTTTTTATCTTGAATATCATCTTTGCCTTCTTGTTACTTCTTGTCATTAAGAGATTTTGTTTTTATCAAAACAATGTTCAACATAGAGAAATTTGATTTTACAGGAGACTGAATTCTTCAATGCAACATTCTTTGTAAAAACACTCCAGCCACTATCAAAGTTTGTCAATAAACACTTAGTAATTCCTCAACGCAACATTCTTTGTTGAATTTTCTCCAACTAGAATTTCCAGGCTAACTCACCCGCTCCACTTTATCGAAAGCTCTACTTCGTTGCATCTTCCGTATCTTGCACTCTTTTTGGCTCTCGAACGAAACAAGATAAATTTTATTTATATCAATGTGGAATGCACAATGATTGATTTCGATGAATATCATATTTATAGGAAGAAAGATAATATGGACTTTATTAAAAAAAAGAGAGAAATTTTATAGCAGCGGTAATGAAAGAGCAATGTCCTAATGTTATGATGAAATAAAAATGTATTTAGAGTTTACGATTGTAGATATTTGTCTGCATGTGTGAAATTGTGTGGAGAATAATTTTTTCTATATGAATTGCAAAAAATCATCAGTTGAAAAACTAAACTTTCATATTTGAAGAATAGAAACACATTTACGAACAAGCTATCCTATTTAAGGATCAGAAGATAAAAATAGTCAAACTATTCATTCGACATCAAACATTATATACAAAGAAATTTTTTCAAAATGTGTGCTAAAAATAATGTCAATTCATGAAGCATATGTAGTTAGTTTTTTTTATATGGAAATAATATAATTTTATATACTTTTAGACAATTAGATGAATCCAACTAGATTTGATAATGCAATAGGAAACACAGAAGGAGAGGATTATAATAAAAAAAGATACGAAAAAGTAAGAGTCCGTGGCATCGTCTTGTACGTGGGTCCACACCACAATATACAGAGTTTCATCCTTTCAGATCCATTATTGACCCAACACAATTCCCAATCAACACTTTCTCGGTTCCATCTGTTTACGATTTTCTCAACTTGTGCCTATCAAACATGCAGGTTCGTTACTTCTCATCATCATCTTTTATTTAATGCATGCAATTTTTGTGTTTTGAATCAACCTGTATTGAATTGAGTAGTTCTAGATCTTATTTGTGGATGCTTAGGGTTAGGTTGTTTTTTAATTCAATTGCAAGATGATCATGATCATGAGTTACGGTTGCAACATATATACCCCGTTAGGGCATCTCACAACTATGTGCTTTCATGCGTCTAATCTCTCTTGATCTCATTACGGCGAGATGCAAGCATAAAAATTATTTCATGAGACATTTGTTATAGAATAACTCTTCACCATAACATGATACACTATATTAAGTAGAAAATTCTAACAAGATACACATATAATCAATCATATAGCTGGTTTATCATTTTACAATTTAGGCTCAAGCTGCTAAGGCTGTAGAAACTCGTCAAACCAATAAGCCGACTTTCTCATCTGTAATTTTGTTATTTCATGCTTGGTTCCAGGTTCTGTTAAAAACTGCAAGTCAAAGCAATCAATAAAACTTTATCTCAAAAGACTTAATTATTATATTTCTATTATATTAGGAGTGATTTAAAATTAAATAACAGGTTTGAAGTAAATAATACAACATTGATATTAGACGTGGTTTAAACTTAAATGATACAACATTGAAAATGGAAATGACAGGTTTGAAGTAAATGTTAAATAGTGACAAGAAAATGTGTTGTCATACCTTAAAATTATCTGGGCATTGAAACGCTGCATACATCTTAGTTACATTGGTCATTAGATCATCCACACCATCCCAGGGACACCTAGGATCTTCCGCACCTAGAGTTACAAACACCCAAGTTAATATTTCAATTTCAAGTTAAATTCAAAAGCCCCACAAATATCTAAACCAATTAATAGATACATAGGTGTACTAAGTGTTGTGATATAATCTAAGTTAGTTAGTTAGTTAGTTCAGATTGATTATGATTAGTTTGTGTTTAGCAACGTGGATTATAAGAAGGTATGTTGTGATATAATCCAAGTTAGTTAGTTAATTAGATAGTTTTTCATAGTTACTTGGGTTACAAGTAACCGACTTGTATTTATATATGTACATTGTGTAACTCAAATAATAATACGATTAGTTTTCATTCTCTCCCATTCCTTTCTCACCATCGGGCACTAAAATTAGAGAAGTGCAAAACTTGTATTACTGTATGCTCAATTCATCAATTTGCATATGAATATTGTTGCAACAACAATTTGAAAGTGTTAATAAGTAATAAATACAAGACTCTTACCATTGAGAATAAGCAGAGGACGGGGTGCAATAGGTGGAATTGAGTAGGGGGAATCAAATTGGGAAGTTAAACCAGGATTAATCCTGTCCCACACCTGAATCAAAAATATAAACTCTTGAAGTTAGTGTCCAGTATTTATGTAAAGATTCTGCTAAGTGGACAAATAAGTAGCATGGTACCAACCATTGTCATGCATGCTTTGTTAGAGTAGTAAACATATTAAAGCAATATATCTATTCAGTTGAAATTATAAATGTAACAAACTTTGCTAACCTTCTCCACTACTTCTTTGTCAATAGCATTTTTACCCAAATCTTTACTAGCCACTGCATACATGAACACAAGAGAATTATGATGTAATTAATTTTCAAGGCACATTCAAAATGCAGTCATTCATTGATTGTAAGCTTATCCGTACGACTCATATTCATATCATATTTCCCTTTTAGATCTTACTCAAACATCATTACAACTATAATATTTGAAAGCACTGCACATAGAAACTAGTATATATGTGATTACTAGAATTATATCAATTAGTGACTTTCATTACAAATATATAGTACTTAATGAAGTAACGAGCAATAATTAAAGTAAAGCAAAAACTTAAAAAAATATTTCATAAATAATGCATCATCATACCTTCAAAAACAGATTTTATACTATCAACTCGGGCGTGCCACTTATCGTTGTCTATGGCCCATCGAAATCCCTGCAATTATATGTTCATAGTGTTTTAGTTGTTTCAAAAGCACACCATGTTACATATAAGCTTCAATCAATAATACAATGTCACCTGAACAGCAATTATAGGAACAACTACTGAATAGCGAGTATCAGCGGCTGCAGCAAACCATGAATGCATTCCTGAACCAAGAAATTATGCAACTGATGAGTCACAACAAACCTAGTATCTAACATATTCCTCTCAACTTCTCTCAACCAACCTCCAAGTGATATTCCTGTGATTCCTATCCTAGAGGAGTCTATATCTTCTCTCTGTGTTAGATAATCTGCCAATTTAATCAAGTCCCCAACCTGCCAAATCAAGGATTAGTATGCCGTTTCAATCACATACATGTTAGCCAAATAATTTTGGGGGCTTAAAATGGTTTAGTTAAATAACAAAGAACTATGATACACATGGAAGAAACTTACCGTATCATATATGAATGGCATTATGCGTCCGGTTTTCCATGCAAAAATAAGAGCCTGTTTTTTTTAACCAACACAAAAGCGAAAAAGAAATTATCAGTTTAGAATTTTTACACAGATCACTTATGTTTTTGTTTGTGATGGATCTTGCGTAGCAGTAAATTTGAGAAAAATAATTAATTTCTATCTTATTTATAGATGAGACGAACATAAAAACGTTAAACACCTAAAAAAGATAGATAAATTACTTATCGCAAAGTGAATTATAGAACTATAGAAAAGATATATAAATGATTCTATAGAAAAGATATATAAATGATTCTAATAGTTAATTATAAAACTATTTTATTCATTTCGTGCAAGCATCTTACATGTTGCAATATGCGTCATAATTAGTGTCTGTGTGTGTGTCAACTAGAGCAAAACGAGAGAGAGTAAAGCTAGGAAAACACATACCTCTTGATAGGTATGATGCAATATGCATCATAGCTAGTGTCTCTGTGTGCGCGTGTCAACTAGAGCAAAACGAGAGAGTAAAGCAAGGAAAACACATACCTCTTGATAGTCGTTGCTCTTCGCTCGTTCACCATGGTAACGAGAATCAACCGAAATTGCTATGTATCCCCTTGAAGCATATGCCTGAAACACCAACAACACATATAAAATCCACAATTATAATGAATCATAAATTCTATTTCATAGGAGTAGAACAGAGAAAATGCATTAGCAACCTCTAGCAATGGACGCATGTATTCTTTAGTCGTGTCTGAACCGTGATTGAAAACAACCGCAGGTCTTTTTTTCTGTTTATCAGTTTCCTTCAAGCTCAAAATCAACAAAGGCACCTTTCCTTGACCTCCATGCTGCAAAATCAAGGATTATTTCAACAAATTAATCTCTAGACCTGAAAATCAGTTCCGACTAACAAAAATATCGATTCAAAATTCAAATTCCAGAAAAATAGAATTATTTCGTTAATTATACTTACCTCTATATGTAAATACAGATTCTCCTCCACGAGCAATTCTTGGAAATTCGGAATGTCTTTCCTTGGACAAGCGTTCATAATCTCCTGTTATAAAATTGTTAGTAGATTGAATGAATTTGAACAAGCAGATGAAGGAGATAATTGAATGAGTGTTGGAACTTGAACCATTTGGGATGGAGGCGGATAGCAAGGATTTGCCACTGGTTTTGCTAACTCAGCCCGCATCGGAACTGAAAATAATCAACAAACAAATTTTATTTCTAGAAATAGAAACAGATAATCGATCATCGATGCACATTCTAGATAGTGGAATTGAATGTTGTACCTGGAAAACCTTTTCTGTTACTGAGCATTTGCTTAAACTCTCTTTGATACTCAGACTCAATATTAATGGCTTCTTTTTTTCCCAATTTGGTTTCGGTTTCGGGTAAGATTATGTTAAGTTGTATGGCGGACTCTTCAGCGGTTTCGATTCTGATAGCTTGTGTGGGGTGCATTTGAGCGGTTATGGTTCTGTTAACTTTTGTGGCGCGCGTTTGGTATTTATAATGAGGCATTTTGAGTGTAATATTGGGAGAGAGGAAGAGCATGGTTGCATGCATTTTGTTAGTAGTATTGGAAGAGGGGAAGGGTATGGTTGCAGGCATTTTGAGTGAAGTTTTGGGAGAGGGGAACATAGTCAGCACATTCATCTTTGCTGAACTTTTGCAAGCTAAAGATAAGGTGGTATGAGAAGGAATAGCATCCTCATTTTATACACTCTCGAGTAAAAGCAATTTTGCTTCTTATTCACATTTTATATATGTTTTCCAATGTAAACAATTTTGGTACAGTAGTTATGGGGATTTGACCAATGGGACGATTACATGTGACCCTTAAATGTGAACCTAAAATGTGAGCATTTGACTGGCCACAACAAATGCGATCTGAATAATAATAGAATTTTCTTGTAATATCTTTTTTTGTTTTACTTCTAAACGTGAAATTTGAACACTGAATCTGTGGGACTTAATAAAAAAAATATATTACATGAGTAATTTTGATGCTTAGTAGATAAAAGACATAAAATTTTAACATTTTAAGAGGGATTTAAAATTTATTTTTACGGAGGATAAATCAAAACTCGGCAACTCAAAGAAAGTAGTCTCATGATGAGCCAATCTGTTAAAAACACCGAAAAGGTATGATTCTAATTTTGATTCTCTTCTTCATGTCTAATAACTTATAATTGATTGTATCATATCACGTATAAGTTGATTTTACAAAATATATCTCATTCAGGACAATGTTTCATACAAGAAAAATATGAAGTTTTGTCATGGACATCTGAGATCGTATCTTTTTTTCATATAAAATTTACATAATCTTTACTATATCACTAAACTTGTTTTATCACTAACCTTCCTGATCTTTTTTTTTTTTTTCATATAAAATTTAGATGATGTATACTACATCTGAGTCAAGTGATACAGTAAACTATCATATACCAATCATACTATAATACTAATCATGTGAACTTGCATAGATACCAATCTATAATACTAATCATGTGAACTTGTATTTTTCAATATTTCAATTGCTACAAAGCTCTAATAAAATATAACTATATCATATATCTTTCTTTCAATGATGCCCACAATCTATTAGATAAAAGTTATTTCTTGGAACACTTTGATTTATGACTATGTTCATGGTGGCATGTTTAAAAAAACATTATTCCAACAATAAACTCATTATTATTCTTCAATAACTAACAGGAAAGAACCCATTATTGTGAAATATAGTAAGCATTTTTAAAATCAATTAATTCTTCTAAAGATATTTATTATAATACAATTCAGTCAAAACCATCTTTGTAGTTAATTTACATTTTCTACAATCTGGTATTCATTTTTTTCTATACTGATAAGAGATATAAATCCATAATTTTGTTGGAATTCCATTATTTGTATAATTTATCTATAACAATATTTAAAGGCAATACATTGTTTTGGTGTAGCCTATTTTCTTTCCTCTTTCACCCTTTAAAACTACTTAGAAGTTATACAAATAAAAATTAACTATCCCCTCCATTTTATATTTGAATATTGTACAAAGTAATTAATTATTTGAAAGGAAAACTGAGTTTAACTTCTAATTAAAAACTATATTTAAATAGCTTCTCCTTATAAGTTATATCTTTCATTTCTAACTCATTGGGTCCATAGAAGTCAAAAATGAAGAAGAAGAAAGACTGCATGAGAAAAATTGGAATCCAGACGATGTTCATGATGATGGTAGAAAAGAGAAAGCTACAATTCGCAGATGTCATAATATGGATGGTGAATCACACAATGATTTCTGTTAGAGTTAATTATTAGGGCATTTAGATTTTTCAATCTAATTTTTTGATTTGGTTTTTTATTTATTTTATTTACTATTTTATTCTTTTTACATAAACAAATCCATATGTGAAATTGGGGTTTGAAAATTGAGATTATTGGATTTTTTTTTTAATGTCTAATACTTTAATTTTTCTCTCTTTTGTAGAAATAAAATGAATCATTATCTCTTACGAAAGAAAAAAAAAGTGTATTCTAATGTCTATGATCAAATAAGAATGATTATTTTTTTTAAATTTTTTAAATTTTGGTTTCCTCTCTTGAATCTTTATCTATTATTGTTTCAATTTTACCTGTGTAATTTGCAAAAATTTTAAAATATAAACAATATCTCAATTTTTAAATTATATAATTTCTACAATGTGACGTAAACATTAATCTATACTTATCTATACCTATAGATAAAGACAATATAACATTTTGGACTAACATATATTTGTTAGATATTTGACCTTTAACTGTTATTTTAAAACCAACCACATATACAAAATAATTTTAGTAAATAATAATTGTTTCATTCTCAATTTAAAACTTTAACAATTTTTTATCATCTTTATCTTTAACCTCCTAAACAATTATCTCTCTTTCACCTGCACGTTATTTTTCTCTCTCTCATGAATTGTTAATTTCATCTAAATTCTATTTCACATGCAATTTTGTCTTTCTTTCTATTATTATTGAATCTTTGAATTGTGTGAATTGTATATACTGTCAATGTGTCTTTGTGATTACCTACAGTATAAATATAAAAAAAAAGGTTTTGTAGAAAGTTAGAGTTGTTACAAACTATTGTATATCACTGTATATTTTACCAATTATCAAGTCATTTACTATACCACCATTCAACTCCTCAGAAATACAACCTTGAACTATATATATTTAATTTTTTTATTAATGCATCAAAAAATAATTGGTCATTTTTAAAATATCCAAAAAAATATATGATACTTAATTATATTGTGTAGGTTATTATTGAGATTAATCTCTAATTTTGCCATCTATAAGACTCACATTCACAAATAAAATTACAGTAATGGTAAATATCGGTTTTAGAGTTTTTTTTTGTATAATGTCAAGTCTAAGGCTATGAATGATATTAATGGTTGAATATCGTTTAAAGATTGAATGTATTTGTGTTTATGTTTTCATCATGATTTTTTGTGATAACGAGTTATTAACTACTTAACAAAACAAAGAAAGAGGAATAAATAAATGCCATGTGCAAAGAAGATTGGGATATATAGAGAGGTAGAGAGACTGATAAGTGATATAAAAAAAGAGTTAGAGAGACGAAGAGAAAGTGAGAAAGAGAGAGAGAGAGAGAGAGAGAGAGAGAGAGAGAGAGAGAGAGAGAGAGAGAGAGAGAGAGAGAGAGAGAGAGAGAGAGAGAGAGAGGAAACACATATTAGTGGCAACATCCACATATAAGTTATAAGAAAGGTGAAGTTACAAAAATAAATAACAGTTACCACATTATTTTGTTTTCTAAATATGCTTTTTTTTATTAAACAGAACATCGAGCATGAAAAATAATAGTAAGATTATTAATGTTCTTTATTGTTAAATATGTGAATTTTTTTTTGTTATTTTATATCTATTTATAATTTGTATGATTTCTACATTGTGATATTATTAAAATTTTAAGACATTAAACAATATACAATGGTTGTCTTCTTACTTTTATTTTTTTTTAATTATGTAAATAATATTATCTTATGTAACATTTAATTTATTGATAAGTTTTAATTTTCACATTCTACTCTTTAGATTATTAAGTTAATTTTAAGTTGACATTTGCATTGTTAAAATGGTCTGAAGATATTTTTTTAGTATTAAATTGGTCTCACTATGCCAAAAAAGACCTTGCAGCGCTTTTTTTGGCCTTTAGCAGCGCTTAAAAGCGCTGTCAAAAGTGGCGCTGCTAAAGGTAAAGGCAGCGCTTTTTTTTTAAAGAAAAAGCGCTGCTAAAGGATCCCTTCAGCAACGCTTTTAGCAGCGCTTTTTTCACCCTATAGCAGCGCTTTTACAAGTGTTGCCTATTCCCCACAACCCTCCCCCCTTTAGCAGCGCTTTCACAAAGCGTTGTCTTAGACCCCACCTTTAGTAGCGCTTTTACAAAGCGCTGTCATAGCCCCCCCTTTAGCAGCGCTTTTTAGAAGCGCTGTCTTAGACCCCCCCTTCCCAACCTATAGCAGCGCTATGTTTGTAACCTTTAGCAGCGCTTTTTTGTAAAAGCGTTGTCTAATGTCCCAGATTTAAAAAAAAAATTTAAATAATCACGTTGTTTTGTATATTTACCAACAATCTGCTTATATTACACAAACCTGCTTATAATTCAGACCTTTATTTCAACACTTTGACCTTATATATACAATTCAAAACTTTGGCCTTTAAGTATACATTGTAACTCATCACTTTGCCTATAATCATTTTAATACACATAAACCTGCTTAAATATGTTACAACAAAATCCGATCCTCAGAATTACAATATCACAAATACAGTCAATTTACATATAATTACAATTCTTCCAATCCGATAACTTTATACAATTCTCAACTCAAGAATAAATTGACATCATTCCTCTTTAATTTCTTCCAATCTTGCTTTCGAGTAAGTAGCGCACTTGAATTCATCAAAATACTACATAATATAACAGAATATGCAAGATTTAATTTTAAAACTAATTACTCAGATGAAGTATCAGATAATTATCAAAATGAATCATATAACTTATGAATTGATCCATACCATGATTGGAACCTCTATTTGACCAGAAAGAATAATTTCCTTCATAAAGCGCAATACAAAATATCCGCAGTCAATCCCATTGCGCTGACGAGGACACTGTAAATAGAAAAAACAAACGAACTTTATCAGGATATATAGTTTAAACAGTTTTATCAAGTAGAACCACTATAAGAGTCAAACATGGGAAAATATACCTCCACTCTGATCCAATTGATGTTGTTAGCCTTGCTTTTTGGCATCGTTGCATCTCTTTGTGCTCTGAATATTTGTATAACTCTAACATAATATAAACGCATATTTAGGACAATGTCACATAATAAATAAAGAAATATAATTATTCAGAACAGAATATCTCATCAGTTACGTATCAACCATGTTCCTCGGATTTTCATATTTTGTTGCATCGCCATCCAATGAATCTATATAATACATTATTTCTTTCCTCGGATTAATCGCGACCAACAACCAGTGTCCACTATAAAATAAGACAACAGTTTAGACGGAAATGTTATATAGAAAGGCAAAAATCGAACAATTATAATAAATGAATTTATAATAAA